ACATCATTGCAGTGGTTTTTGTCATACATTGAAATGAATTAGCCATGGATTTACATGTATTCCCCGTCCCGGTCCCCCCTCCCACCTCCCTCTCCACCCGATCCCTCTGGGTCTTCCCAGTGCACCAGGCCCGAGCACTTGTCTCATGCACCCAACCTGGGCTGGTGATCTGTTTCACCCTAGATAATATACGTGTTTCGATGCTGTTCTCTTGAAACATCCCACCCTCGCCTTCTCCCAGAGTCCACAAGTCTGTTCTATACATCTGAGTCTCTTTTTCTGTTTTGCATATAGGGTTTTATTTATTTATTTATTTATTTTTTTATCACAACCATAGTGTATCTTTTTTTTTTTTTTTTTTTACATGTATTCCCCATCCCGGTCCCCCCTCCCACCTCCCTCTCCACCCGATCCCTCTGGGTCTTCCCAGTGCACCAGGCCTGAGCACTTGTCTCATGCACCCAACCTGGGCTGGTGAACTGTTTCACCCTAGATAATATACGTGTTTCAATGCTGTTCTCTTGAAACATCCCACCCTCGCCTTCTCCCAGAGTCCACAACTCTGTTCTATACATAGGAGTCTCTTTTTCTGTTTTGCACATAGGGTTATCATTACCATCTTTCTAAATTCCATATATATGTGTTAGTATACTGTAATGGTCTTTATCTTTCTGGCTTACTTCGCTCTGTATAATGGGCTCCAGTTTCATCCATCTCATTAGAACTGATTCAAATGAATTCTTTTTAATGGCTGAGTAATATTCCATGGTGTATATGTACCACAGCTTCCTCATCCATTCGTCTGCTGATGGGCATCTAGGTTGCTTCCATATAGGGTTATCGTTACCATCTTTCTAAATTCCATATATATGTGTTAGTATACTGTAATGGTCTTTATCTTTCTGGCTTACTTCATTCTGTATAATGGGCTCCAGTTTCATCCATCTCATTAGAACTGATTCAAATGAATTCTTTTTAATGGCTGAGTAATATTCCATGGTGTATATGTACCACAGCTTCCTCATCCATTCGTCTGCTGATGGGCATCTAGGTTGCTTCCATATAGGGTTATCGTTACCATCTTTCTAAATTCCATATATATGTGTTAGTATACTGTAATGGTCTTTATCTTTCTGGCTTACTTCACTCTGTATAATGGGCTCCAGTTTCATCCATCTCATTAGAACTGATTCAAATGAATTCTTTTTAATGGCTGAGTAATATTCCATGGTGTATATGTACCACAGCTTCCTTATCCGTTGGTCTGCTGATGGGCATCTAGGTTGCTTCCATGTCCTGGCTATTATAAACAGTGCTGCGATGAACATTGGGGTGCACGTGTCTCTTTCAGATCTGGTTTCCTCAGTGTGTATGCCCAGAAGTGGGATTGCTGGGTCATATGGCAGTTCTATTTCCATTTTTTTAAGAAATCTCCACACTGTTTTCCATAATGGCTGTACTAATTTGCATTCCCACCAACAATGTAAGAGGGTTCCCTTTTCTCCACACCCTCTCCAGCATTTATTGCTTGTAGACTTTTGGATAGCAGCCATCCCAATGCAGGGCCTTTCTTGCTTAGTCAGTCTCATCCGACTCTTTGTGACCCCAAGAACTGTAGCCTGTCAGACTCTCTGTCCACGGGATTTCCCAGGCAAGAATACCGGAGTGGGTTGCCATTTCCTCGTGCAGGGGACTAATGCAGAGCATGTGGGTTCAATTCCTGGTTGGGCAAATAAGATCTCACACGCGGAGGAGACCCAGCTACTGAGTCCCTGCGCTCTGGAGCCCGTGAGCCACGGCTAGAGACGCTCCTGTGGACTGCAACTAGAGAAAGTCCACGTGTCTCAATGAGGCCTCTCACAGGCAAAAAAAAGAAAAATTAAGATACATTTTAAAATATTGAATTGGCCAAAACGTTTGTTTGGGTTTTTCCCATAACATCTTATGGAAACCCAAACAAATGGTTTGGCCAGCCCAGTATTTGCAGCCACATGCTAACCTTTCGACATGCCTGCTGTTTCTTCTTCTTCCATTTGGCGGTCCTCTGAAGTCTTCTCTGAAGTTTCTCCAGACGGCTCCATCCCCTGAAGGCTCAGAACGTGTTAGGACCTCTTTTCCCTGGCAGCCCCTGCCTGCACCAAGGCTAGGACGCTTAGCACGCTGTTCTGGAGCACTCTGTTTATCTGTCTGTCTGCCCCCTAGACAGTGAGCGACTTGAGAGCAGGGCTTCCTCTCTGATCACTGACATATCACAAAAGCCTGTCTCGGAGTTTGGCAGAAAATGTATTGGAAAAAAGAAGAGAAATGAAGTGCAAGGAAATGAATTGAAATAGACATCCTTGACAAGAGCCCCTGCAAGTCTCCTTGTCAGCCTCCGATGGAGGAATTCCAGCTTCTTCAGAATGCACATGTTGGGAAGAGGGGGTGAGAGGTGTCACTGTCTAAATATTAGCCTCAAACACATTCCAATAGCTTAAATCCCTTTTTTAAAAGCTAAAAGCATAGTACTTTGTCAGTAAAGGTATTATATAAATTTTAAAAAAAAAAGCAAAACAAAAATATATCAGCCACAATCACTACTAAACACCTGGTGTCTGAGATTTGGGTGAAGGCCATTTCCCAGTGGAGGTTCAAGCTGAGCCCATGCCAGTCTCCCGAGGCTGCTATTCAGAGATCCAGGTTAAATAGAACAAAGGGGAAGATCCACTTACTGCCTGGTGGCCCAAATGGTGCTCTTTCAACCTGGTATCTATCAAGATAGGAAGACGATAACACCACTTTACATCATTTACAGTGAGGCCAGAACAGCAGGAAGCAAGGGCGTTGATAGTGCACCGCTCACATTGCTTCCTTGAGGCTTTCTCAGCCTCAGAAACAATGCCTATCTCTCTGAGGATTAGCTGGCTGAATGGCAAAAGAATCACACGTGCGCAAACACCTCAGCACCATCACCACACACACACACACACACACACACACACACATCACACACAAGCCACGGAAAAAGCCAAGAGAGAGGAGAAGAGATGGGAAGTCCTCTACTCGAAAACTGAAAACAAATGTAAACATCTTACCTTAACAAGGAAACACTAGCTGAATTCACTTCAATTTGGTGTGCAAAAAATGGTGAATATGAAAGAAAATGCTAACTTAAAGAAACCTTTTTAAAGCAGTGAAAAGCACAAAAGTGAAGTCGTTTGGTCACATCTGACTCTTTGTGACCCACACTGTAGCCCACCAGGCTCCTCCGTCCATGAGGTTTCCCAGGCAAGAATACTGGAGTGGGTTGCCATTTCCCTCTCCAGGGGATCTTTCCCACGCAAGGACTGAACCCAGGTCTCCTGCATTTTGGGCAGACTTTACCGTCTGAACCACCAGGGAAGTCTTAACTTTAAATCATCCATAACATAACCACCCAGATTCAAAACAATTTGTATTACTGTATGTTATCTATTTCTCATGCTTACATAATAATATATTTAGTATATATTATTTTAAATATCAGATCAATAATTTTTCATTTTATTTTAGTAGTTAAATCCTCTTTTATCATGCCCATGTGACTTGCTATATGCATCCTAGGGAAACTGCTGCATCCTATTTGAGGCTGTATTAGATAATCAGGCCTTCCCCAGTGGCTCAGCTGGTAAAGAACCCTCTTGCAGTGCTGCAGACACAGGATACATGTGTTTGATCCGTGAGTCTGGAAGATCCTCTGGCGGAGGAAATGGCAACCCACTCCAGTATTCTTGCCTGGAAAATCCCATGGACAGAGGAGCCTGGAGGGCTACAGTCCAAGGAATCACAATAAGTTGGCTATAACTGAGCACGTATGCATACTATTTACTAGATAATCCTGTAGTAAGCATCCATATACCATATATTTTCTGCTTAGGATAAAGTTCAGGATTAGAATTCCTTCCTTATCAGACATGAACATTGTTAGGGGCCTTGTTTTACACCAGCATGTTGCTTATTCAAAGTCTTGTTTGTGGTTATCATTTCAAAGATGATGAATGAACACATCAGGTTTACCAACAAATAGTAATGCCTTTTCATTTTTAAATAATGCATTTATTTAATAAATCTAAATGGTTGTTTTGGTTGCTTCTATTTTATGAGTTTTTAAATTAGGGGTGACTCATTGCTTCGTGTACTCTGCCCATGTGTTTTTTTAGTGAACTGATGTTATAGATTGAGTAAAATCTTTGCACAGAATCAATGTTTGGCCTTTTTAAAGTAGTGGGTTGGTACAAAAGTAATTGCGACCTCAGACCATGAATTTTAAATCATTATAACTAGGCTCAAACACATCTTTATTAATCAACATAGTAACCTTTACAATCAACACTTTTTTTTTTTTTTGCCAATGAGGAATAAGTTTGCTTTATTCATGTGTGTAAAAATCCTTCAGGAAAAATGCTTCAGGGATTCAACAAACTCTTGGAAGGCATTTTTCTGCCTCCTGCTGGTTGTGGAAGTGTTTTCCCTACGAAAAGCTGTCAAGATGCTTGAAGAAACAGTAGCTGGTTGGCCAGAGGTCACATGAATACGACAGATGAGGCAAAACTTCACAGGCCAATTCGTTCGACTTTTGAAGCATTGGTTGTGCGACGTGCGGTTGGGCACTGTTGTGGACAAAAACTGGGCCCTTTCTGTTGACCAATGACAGCTGCAGCCACTGCAGTTTGCATGCTTCTCGTCGATTTGCTGAGCATACTTCTCAGATGTAATGATTTTGCCAGGATTCAGAAAGCTGTAGTGGACCAGACCAGCAGGAGACCACCAAACTGTGGCCATGACCTTTTTTCCATGGAAGTGCTTCGAGCTTCTTCCCAGCCCCACCACTGAGTCGGTTGGTACTGGCTGTCATAAGATCCACGTTTTGTGATATGTCACAATCTGATGGAGAAATGGTTCACTGTTGCATGCAGTAAGAGACGACGCTTCAGAATGATGATTTTCTTTGGCTTTCAGCCAGCTTGTGAGATACCCACTTATCAAGCTTTTTCCCCTTTCCAATTTGCTTCAGACGCTGTGACCACAGGATGGCTGGCGTTGACTTCTTGGGCCACTTCTCGTGTAGTTACAAGAGCATCAGCTTTGATGATGGCTCTCCATTTGTCACTGTCAGTTTCTGATGGCTGATCACTATTCTCCTCGTCTTCAAGGCAAAACTTTGCAAAACTTCTTGAATCTTCACTGCCCTGTATGTCCCTTAGAAGTGCCTGGGCCAAATGCATTGTTCATATTGTGAGTTGTCTCCACTGTTTATGACTCATTTTGAACTCGAATTAAAAAAAAAAAAAATCACTCGAACTCGCTTTCTGTCTAACATTATTTCCACAGTCTAAAATAAATATAAAATAAACAGCAGGTAATGTCATTAGCAATAAATAAATAAATAAAGCAAGAAATGCACATTAAATGATATATAGCATAACCACATTTATTTAAGAATGCATTCCATTATGAAACAGCAAAGTTCAGCAATGCAAAACTGCAATTACTTTTGCATCAACCCTGGTATTAAGTTTATAACACTTTTAAATGTGTATATATTAAATATCTTCAAATTTTCTTTGGGGATACAGCCATCATTACATAGCAGAGAAAGTTAAATTTCTCCTTGGTTCTGATCCTATTTTGTTTTGGCCACTCTTGTTTTCTATCACACCTTGTTTTTGATGGAAAGCCCTTTAATTGTTTGTAATTTACTTAGGAGGATAGTGCAATAAATGGATTAACATTCATCCTTTATAATTTTTTGAAATAAAAATTGCTATTCCATTATCTTGACATCATTTGTCACATAATCATTTTTGATTCACCTGATTTTGAAGCTCGCCTTTTTATACATAGTGAGCCTTTATATGAGATCTATTTATGAGTTTTCATTGATATGTGCTTTTATTATATGTGCAAGTATTATATTATTTTGAAAATTGTTGCTTTTAAATGTGGCTAGTATCATTGCATTGGGTGGTACTCCTTATTCTCCCTTAACATCCCTTTAAAAAATATTACAGTCCTTTTGTTTTGTGTTGCTACTTTAAAAACACATTAGATTTTAAATTGTCATCAATGGAAATAATCTTTAAATCTTCTTTAGTATGTGATCGATATCATAATTATACTAAACAAATCACAGAACATTTTAAAGTTGGATTTAGATTTTTTTTTTTAAGAATTAGTCTTGTTAAAAAAAAAAACAGAAATATGTGATTTTTCAAGACATTCTCTTCTGGATTTACCTTAGAGATTTTTATTCAGAGTTTTTCCTTAGAAATGACACTCCAGTCAAAAAAGTCTGTTTTATAGCTTGCAGTCAGATTTAGATATGAGATCCTCTAAGTATTGCCCATCTTGATAATTCACATAATTCAGCAGACTGAACAGCAAAGGAATATTATTTATCTTTATTAACATAACAAAATATTGCACTGATGTGTATTTGATTAAACTAGAGAATGTTGATATATTTATGTAAATTATTTTAAGTAAGACAGTAGAAATTATTTCTAATTACTTGTTACTCAGGGTGTCCCAGGGTAATGATAAAGAATCCGCCTGCCAATTGCAGGAGACACAAGAGACACAGGTTTGATCCCTAGATTGGGAAGATCTCCTGGAGGAGGAAACGGCAGCCCACTCCAGTAATCTTGCCTGAAAAATTCCATGGACGTAGCAGCCTGACTACAGTCCAAGAGGTCACAAAGAGTTGGACATGACTGAGGGAAGTGAACACAGCCCAGCACACATGTTACACAAAGGTGCGTAATACAAAGCTAGCATCAATTTCATCTAAATACTAGGGCAGTTGTGCATTCTGAGATGGATTGAGGCAGAATTATACAAATATTAGTCCTTTAATAATTAATATGGAAGTGATCACACACAAAAATTCATGCTAAACCTTAAAAAATATTTAATGAGACACATTTAAATGAATTTTCTGGGACCTCTGAAGAACAATTGAGACACAATATTTTTGAAAATAGATGTCTTCTTAGCATTTTCTACATTTCGTCTATAGACCAGTGAAGCACATCACAGAAGCTACACTTTTTAGATATTTGTCAAGGTCATGTTGGGTAAACAAGCCAAGACACAGAACCACTTCTCCTGAAAGAGTGGTTAGATCATTAGATATGTAGGTCACTGATTATGGACTCATGGAAATTCACAACTGAAAGAGATATTCTGAGAACATCTAATTTAAGCTCCACAAACAATGAGACAATTGTGTCACAACAGAGTGGTTTGATGTCTTAATGCTAACTAGATGCAGGACCACAGCATGCTACTCTTCCAACGTGTTCGGTTTAATACCTTGTAATTTGAGTGGTTATTTTTTGCTTTTTTAGTTATACTTGAATAAAGAAAAATATCCTAGCAAATACCCAAAATTAGGCTTAAAATTGAATTTATAATAAGGTCTATAATGATAAATAAGGTTTATAATAATGTAGGTTAATTAAGTACTTGATACAATCAGGTTTCACCCTTCCTTTATGATTCTAATACTAATGATAAAATTAAATACAGTTATAAATTAACTGAAAACTACACTAAAACTTTAAATAGAAATCTTAATTTAGCATATTTTTTTTTCTTATACTAAAACAACTCTCATCAACTGAAGGCAGTAGTCAGTTTTGCTTATCTTTAATGCCATCTGCCAGAATAACTCACTTCTACAGACACTTCCATCTATATAAACTGCCTGAACAGCTTTAATTATAAAGCATGCCTTGGTGAACTTGAGTTGCAACTGCGTTTCAATTCTATTCAAATGGAATCCTTTATGTGTTTGTGTAGTTTCGGTAAATTCGTTTCTATTTGTCTGCAATAATTTAGTCCAATGCCACAAAATTTTGGACAGGTTCAAATTTTGGTGCCTGAAGTTTCCACAGCATAGGAAGCCCATTAAAAAAACTGGACATTAAAAAAAAAAAAACTTAAATATAAAATTAAGACTATTAGAATGAGAAAAGAAGTCACAACCACTTAGACAGCTTTAAAATGTTGACAAATGTCTTAAATATAAAAATTGAGAAAATATCATGTTCATCAGTAAGTCCTCGATGATTAAGGAATATATAAAATGAATTTAAAATCAAAGCACACATAATTAGAATCAAAAGTGTTTAAAGTGCCACTGCAATCTCTTCATTGGTGATCATGTGTAAGAGCTTTCCTTACTGGAACTCCTGCATCTTCAGGTCATTTTGTGGCATTGCTGGAAATTTTGCATTCTATTTTACCTGGAACTACTAGATTTTAACAACTCAAGATGAGGCAATACTCAAAGATGGGATCTAACTTGTTGAAATGAGTAATGTGTGTGACTTTACACACAGTTTGAATCTCTATTTTTAGTATTGCAACAGAAAAACTCTAATGAATTTTATAGGATTTCTATAAAAAAGGAAAACGTGTATCTTACATTACTGATTTTATATGTTGCACTCTCAATTCTGCTGATAGCAGAGATATTACCTTCTATCAAAGGCTAAGAACTAAATTTTGCATTCAAGTTTATAAACAGAAAGTTGAGAGGCTTTTCCATAGACTAGTTTCTTGGTGTGTATGCCTTAAAGCTTTTTTCTCCCTGACTATACGCATACCTCATTCAATGGAGCTTCAGTTTAATATGCTTCTCAGATATTGTGTTTTTTGCTAATTGAAGGTTTGTGGCAACCCTGCTTTTTTCCATGTTTTTTCCAACAGCATTTGTTTCTTGTGTCTCTGTGGCACGTTTAGGTAATTATCACAATATTTCAAATGTTGATGATTATTATGTTTGTTGCGGTGATCTGTGATCTTCAACGTTACCGTGGTAATTGTTTTGGGGTATCACTCTACCATACTCATGTAAGCCTGCAAATTTATATGATAAACCTGTGTGTTCTGACCGCTCCAACAACCAGCCATCCACCTCCCCCCACCATCTTCACTATTCTCTGAGACACAACAGTGCTGAGATCATGCCAGTGAATATCCAGGAAGGAAGAGGCACGTATCTTTCAATTTAAATCTGAAGCTAGAAATGATTAAATTTAGTGAGGAAGGCATATCAAAAGTCACATTAGACTGAAAGCTGGGCCACTCGTGTTTGTTAGCCAAGGTGTGAGGGCAAAGAAAAAATGCTTAAAGGAGATCAAAAGTTCTATTCTAGTGAACATGCAAGTGATAAATAAAATCAGTCTTCCTGCTCACGTGGAGAATGTTTCAGTGGTCTGGATAGATCAGACCAGGCACAACATTCCCTTAAGCCAAAGCCTAACCTGGAGCAAAGCCCTAACTCTCTTAAATTGAAGGCTGAGAAAGGTGAGGAAGCTGCAGAAGAAGTCTGAACCTAGCAGAGGTTGGTTCATGAGGTTTAGGGAGAGAAACTGTCTCAATAACATTAAAGTTTAAGGTGAAGCAATAAGAGCTGTTATAAAAACTTCAGCGTTTTCTAGAAGATCTAGTTAAGATAGTTAATGATGGTGGCCACACTAAACTAATTTTCAAATAGATGAAAGAGGCTTCTATTGGAAGAAGACATCATCCAGGAATTTCATAGCTATGGAGAAGACAATGCTTGGCTGCAAAGGACAGGCTGCCTCTCTTGTTGGCGGCTAATGAAACTGGTGACTTTAGGTTGAAAGCAATGCTCATTTTCCATTTCCCAAATCCTACGGCCCCTAACAATTGTGCAAAATGTACTTTCAAAATCCTGCTGCTCCTGGTCAATGCACCTGGTCACTCTGATGGAGATATATTAATGCCAAGAGATGAATGTTGTTTTTCATGCCTCCTAGCACAACATCCATTTGGCAGCCCAGGGATCAAGAGGTCATTTTGATGTTCAAGTTTTATTATTTAAGAAATGCATAGATAGTGATTCCTCTGATGGATCTAGGTAAAGTAAATTGAAAATCTTCTGGAAATGATTCAACATTTTAGATGTCATTAAAGAATTTCGTGATTCAAGGGAAGAGGTCAAAATATTAATATTAGAAAGAGTATGGAAGAAATTGATTCCAACTCTCATGGATAATTTCAAGGAGTTCAAGATTTCAGTGGAAGAAGTGATTGCAGATATGATAAAAATAACAGAAGAATTAGAATTAGAAGTGGAGCCTGACATTGTGACTGAATTGCTACAATCTCAAG